CAGCGCGCCATGACGCTGGGTCTCCGGAGCTTTGAAAGCCACACGGGCCAAGGAACCTGTTACAACTTCGCTCAGCCCCTGTTCTCACCGGCTTACAAGCCAGCAGAGGCTTCGGTTGCGTCTAGGATAAAATGCAAGCTCCGCACCATCTCCCGAAAGGACCGCAGGGAGCTGGTCCCGGCTGCACTCCAGCCACACCCCTCCTGGATGCCCATTTCCAGCCTTTTTGCTCATCTCGTGGGCTTTGCTCTGTCTGCAACGATCTTCCTGGTTTGCCCCGTGAATCCTTAAGGCCATAAACACTCCTTTTGAGCCCGCCCTTCCGCTCCATCACATGGTCTTGTTTACTTTTCTCACAGCACTTACCATAACTCCCCTGCCCCCAGGTGGGCGGAAGTTCCGTGAGCGCGGAAGGCCCTGCGGTCTTGGCCCTGGGTGGTCGTTTCCCTCTGTGCATACAGCAGGTGCTCGCTGAGATTTTTGCAATGGGTGGACTAGGTTTGGGCTAAAGAGTTTGGACCTCACCCTAAATGTGATAGGGGCCGGTCAAATGGCAGGAGAGAGCCGCCATCAGGTCTGCATTTTAGAAAGATGTATCTTAGGTAGCGGTGTGGATGCTCATTTACAAGAGGTTGTGATGGGGACCTGTTTGGAAATTAGTCCAGTTACCTAAAAGGATTTGTTCCTTTCTTTCCTTTTTTTCCTTCCCTCCTTTCTATTTTCTTTTTTTGGGAGTGGGGGGCTTAACAGTACATCTTATTTCTTGCTCATGTCAGGTCCATCAGTCAGTGTTGGGTACGGATCTTGCTTCATGCAGTCATTCAGGGATCCAGGCTGGTTCACCTAGACTCTGCTCTCTTCAACCCGTGGCTCTTAAAGCCATTCTGGGTATCAGGTTCCAGGAAGCAGGTAGACAAGATGCACAGTAGAGGGTTGGAGAGAGTTTTTTACGGGTCAGTTTTGGAACTGGTAGATATTCTTCCACCCACATCCCTGGATCACAAGATGTCTCATGACCCCACCTAGATGGGGAGTGGGGGAGGGCTGGGGAAATGTAGTCCCTGAGAAGCAGCTGCGCAGAAATATCTAGATTAGAATATTTGAAGGCCCATGTAAGGCCTTAAGAAGCGATGCATGTGTGAGAGATGGGAGTTGGTGAGAATGTAGTGACAGAATATGACAGGGGATGACTCAGTTTTCTTTCTTGTTGACTGAGAGATGACCATTACTTCTTTTCTTATTGGCTGAGAGAGAAGGAGAGTGTTTTGTTTTGAAGCTTGCTTAGTCAGGGATCTAAAGTTTGGGAGGACCGCCAGGGCCCCGATTGGCTGGTTTGGAAGTTGTTGGGTGGTATGGGGCTGTGGCTCCATGAATGGGTCAGATCTGAGGTGGGGTGTGAAGGTGGAACCCTGGTGAAATTTGGCTTTCAGGGACTGGTAGAGAAGATCCACCTCAGGGGAGAATCAGGAGCAGCAGCTGGAGAGAAAGGTGGACACAGTAAATGACGGACAGGCAGACAGATGGGCAGACGGATGGATGGATGGATGTGATGATAAGGATAGCTGGTAGATTTTGTTAATGCCTGTATTTGGTAAAATAAAGATGGCAGACCTATTCTTAGGGTAGTTACCAAAATTGGAGGTCAAATTTTACTCATCTTGGAAATCTGAACATATGGTATTTACTGACCTAGATAATTGTGTTTTCTTTTTCGTTCTTCATCTTTACCTTTTCCTTGAGGTTCATGTAAGAGAATTTCTTGAACCTTCCTTCTCTGACCGTTTCTGGATCATGTAGGGAGAGAGAATGTGTAGTTGGCTGTATTTTCTATGCCTATTCTGTGACTCTATTAGTCTTCCTGAACCATAGGTCAGTTTCAGAAATAGGTCTTTATTGCTGCTTGTGTTCATTGGTGAATTATGGGAGGGTTCTTCAGTCCTTGACTTTCAAACTGTGCTTAATGGGCAGTAAGTACCGTGGTCAGGAGCGTAGCCTCAGAGACAAGCCTGCCTTGTTCCAACCCTGCCTCTGCTTGCTAGCTGGGTGATTTGGGGCAAATTACTTTGTATCTGAGTCTCAGTTCCATCATCTGCAAAATGGGGATGATAATATCACCTACCTCATAGGCTTTTTGAAGACTGAATAAATTAACTCATAAAATGTTGGGGCATTCCCTGGTTCATGGTAAATGTTCAACAAGTTTTAGTAGTCATCATCGTTATCATTGTAATAATAAGATTTGGGGTTGAGAGCACCAGTTATTAGCCTCTCTGCCTAGAATGTTTTTCCCTTCTCTCTTTGCCTGGGTCATCTTCAACCCTAAGTATTTGGCTCAGGTCCTTTCTTGTTTGCTTCCCCACTTCCGTCAGGCTCAGGTGTCCCTCCTATCTGCTCTGATGTAGTCTGAGCTCAGCTGACCTTGCACTTTCCACTCCATTTTAGTCATCTCTGTCTTTCACTTCCACTAGATAAGAGAGGGATGTGAGTCAGGATGACTCCAAGGTTTTTGGCCTGTGCAGTGGAAGAGGGAAGTAGCCTTTTACTGAGATGGGGGAGTCTGTGGAAGGTACAGGTTTGGGGGAGTTGATCATGGATTTCGTTTTCTTTTGAGATGCTTAAAATAAGCATGATCTGTGAAGTATGGCAGTGTCTTAGTCAAGCAAATTGTTTGCCTGACTGTTCCCAGCTGTGCTGATCCAGGCGATCATTTGAAGTCTTTGGATCGCTTGGGCACGGTGCCAGTGCCTTGCTCACAATGAGTGTTTAACAGGGCCTTGTTTGAAAACATGGAGGAGGGGAACAGAAAAAAGGGCCGGGTCTCCCCTGTGTGTGCATGAGTAAATACTTACAACTGGAAGGTGTCAACACTCACTTATTCAGCCAGTGTTTTAAGTGTCCAATGACTGGTATGCTGTGACTCTTCTTTGTGAAGTAGCCCTGTCATTCTCATCAGAAACCTGCTGAAAGGTGCTATCCTGGGCTCTAGAACTGACAAGTTATCATCTCTTCTTTTGTAAATAAACATGTTTTATTGTTGCATAGCCAACTGTTTTTTTCTCCAGTGCTTTTAAACAGGGTCGGTAACTATTCTTGAAGACGGATTTTACCAGCTGTCTTAGTTTGCTTGGGCTGACATAACAAGTTAACACAGACTGGGTGGCTTAACCAACCAGAAATTTATTTTCTCACAATTCTAGAGGCTAGAAGTTAAAGATCAAGGGTTGGTTTCTTCTGAGGCTCCTCTCCATGGTTTATAGATGGCCATCTTCTCCCTATATCCTCAAGTCATCTTCCCTTTGTGCCGGTCTGTGTCCTAACCCCTCTTCTTATAAGGACACCAGTCAAATTGGATTGGTCCCCCTCCAGTGACTTCATTTTAACTTAATCATTTCTTTAAAGACTTTGTCTCCAAATACAATCATTTCTAAGGTCCTGGGGTTTAGAACTTCAACATAAGAATTTTGGGGAGACAGTTCAGTTGTGATACCAGCTCTGTTCTTTTCCAGGAAGAGCTGTAGGAACAGTCACAGCTTGACAACTGAGCACAACCTGGGCGTGCTGAAAACTCACGGTGTCGACCACCTGAGCTACAGTGAGCTCTGCCAGCTCTTGTTTCAGAACGACCCCTGGATTTTGCCAGAGGTGAGTGCCAGGAGGGTGTGTGTGTGTGTGTGTGTGTGTGTGCGCGCGCGCACAAGGAATCAGGGAGAGGCCAGAAGGTTGGAAAATAGGAAATATTATGATAGAAGAGAATCCAAGGTCCCCATCGTGACCACTGGGGCTGCCTGGAGGAGACCTAGATTGAATTCTTGGCTCTGTGACATTGGGCCAACTTTGCTCCTTCTTGAAGCCTCTTTTCTTTCTCTATCAATTGGGCTAGTACCTCCTTTGCAGGGCTTCTGTGAGGTTGGGAGAGCCTGTTTGGCCAGTGGCTGCAGCAAGATGTTATTTACATAGAGCCAAGGAGATGAGAGATTCCAGCCAGCCCCTCTTTGTTTAGCAGGACTTGGAATCATGCAGGTTTCAGTGGACCCAGCTGGGGCTGTGGAGAAGGTTTCTAGGGCTGCAGACTATGCATTCTCTACTAACTCAGTTGCACCCAGGGAATTTTGAAGTTTAGTTGATGTGAAATCTCATATTGCATTAACCACTTGTTTCAGAGCTCACTGCAGTGGTTATGTACTATTTCATATCCTTCGAGAAGCAGACACCAAGATGGAATTAGAAGTGTGAGATTTAGTGGGTAGGGAGCAGAAGGTGGGGCGAGCCTTGAGGCAATGATGCAGGTCTAGCATCTGTGGCAGGAGGACGGGGAAGGAAGGGGACTGGACAGGAAGAGATCCGGACTGCAGCACAGTTCTAAGAAAGCTTCTGCTTGGCCAACTGGAAGTTCTGAGTTTAAGGTTTCTCTGTTGGAGGCAACCTTGGCTTCCCTAGAACGGTGTGCTTCATTGGCTGGGAGCGTCCCATGGGAATGTGGCCTCTGTGTGAATAAAGTAGTGGCTCCAGAGGCAACACTGGGCTGATAGTTAACTGTGCTCTGCAGCAGGTCTGAGCAGTGCCTTCCTGTGGCCAGCACCAGTTATATGGGATGCTCTGACACTTCCTGTGATGAGGCAACAGATTAGATTGGCATATTTTAATGACAGTGCTTCCATATGATTGAATTAAAATCACCCATTTGAGAAAGGTGCAACAGAGCATAGTGACTGGCACATAATGGGTATTAACTTTTTTTGCTTTTTGAAAATTAGTATTGATTTACTTCAGCTAACTTTTATTGAATATCCACTGTGGGTCAGGCACTGGTGATAAGGAGATAGAAGACCCCATTCTGTCCTTCTGGGAGGCACATTTACTGGGTCACACAGACAAGTCAGAAGATAATTGTAAGGTGCTGTGTTAGAAGCTCCAATAGAAGTCAGTGCTCTGATCTCCAGGGCACAGTTTGGGTGCTGGGAAAGGCGTCCTGGAGTCCATGGTGCCTGCTCTTGGAGCTGAAAGATGAAGGTCTGGGAAAAGGGAGGTACAGAGAGGAGGGCACCTGGCATCGTCAGGAGACAGCACACAGGGCAGCACAGCCTGCATTTAGGGTTGGAGAGGGGAGAAAGAGACATGGATGGGCAGAGGCTCATACACAGGAAGGAGTCGGGAGGTAGGTTTGTGTTTGGAGTGGGCATTCACATTTTGGAGAGATCGTCTTGTCAGTAGTGTGAAAAATGAATCAGAAGGTGACCAGTCAGGAGTTTGTAGCCTCTGCGTGCTTGGGTGTGCTGGTTGGTTCAGAACACAGTGCCAGCAGATGGAAGCCGAGACCACAAACTCAGACCCTTTATCAGATGACCAGTTGGGGGCCACCACCATGAATTGAGCACTCACTCACTGTGTTCCAGGTATTGTATTAGCCATTTTGTATATTTCCCATTTAATCCTCACAGTAGCGCAGGAATGGAGGTAGGATTATTCCCATTTTGGGGATTGAAAAACTGAATCTGAGAGCTGACAAGTGGCTTGCCAAAGGCCAGGCAGCTTGTAAGTGGCAGAATCAGGTAAGGCCCCAGCCCTCTCTGGCCTTTCTCCTTGGGGTTTCCATCCCCAGAGTAGGGTCCTTGCTGAATCTTGCTTAGTATAATGCCTTTGAATTGAATGGGTGGGTCCTTGGTGGTCTCTGGCCTTGTTTGCATCTGTAGGAATTTGGAGTGTAGAGGAGAAGGAGCAGTTAATTCAAGCTCAGATCCCAGCTTTGCCAACAACCTAATTCAGCCATTGTATGTGCCAAATGTGGCAGATTGCTGTGTGACTTAGGGTAAGCCAGTTAACTTCTCTGAGTCTCACTTTGCTCATGAGAAATGAAAGGGCTGTATTTGGCCTTCTCTAAGATGCTTTAAACCCTCAGAACCTCTTTGACCCTGAGCTGTAGAAAAAGAGTTGAGAGAAACGGGCCTAGGTAGTGGAGAGTTGGTTAATCAGGGGGAAGGGTATAGGTAGAGCTTAAGGGTTGAGAGGAACAAATACATTAAAATGTCTCCTGTGAAGGGAGCAACTCTGATCAAGTTCTTTGGGTTTCCCCATGAAGTAGCTGTTCTGAGCAGCCTGCTGTCCACCTAGTTCCCATTTTAGTCAAGGACATGGTAACAGCTACCCATCTAGAGTGAGGGATATTCTCATAGCTGCGTGGTTTGTTTGGATAACAGAGTCACTGGCAGTGTCTAGGTTTCTGGAAAAACCTCTTCTAACCAGTGGACTGGTCAGTAGGGAGGTGGTGGCTTGTGAAACCTTCCTAAGCTGCTGTCTTTTTCCTTCTCTGTCAACAGATCTGCCTTCACTACAATAAAGGAAATGGACCCTATGGCTCTTGTTCCTTTCAGAAGCAATGTACGAAACTCCATATCTGCCAGTATTTTTTACAGGGTGAATGCAAGTTTGGTACTAGCTGTAAGAGATCCCATGATTTCTCTAATTCTGAGACTCTGGAAAAACTGGAGAAGTTGGGCATGAGCTCACACTTGGTGGGCAGGCTGCCTTCCATTTATAGGAATGCGTATGACATCAAGAATAAGAGCTCCGCCCCTGGCAAAGTGCACCTTCCGGATCTAGGGACTTCTGGTAAGGCTCTGGGCTGGGGCTCCGGGATTCCATCTGGCCATTAAATGAGATGTGTGGCTGGATAAGTCTGTGCTTCTCTTAGTAAAATGCAGTTAGGGATCCCTTCCTAGCTAGTGGGGGTCATGAGGGTGAGTTGAAATCATGGCCATGAACAAGCAAAACATTCTAGAAAAGTGCTACTTGGTGTTGACGGTGAATGAATATGGGCCTCATCTGCACTGAGATAAGGGACTCTGCTTCTCCTATACAGTCGTCCCTCTGCCCCCTGGAGAACTTGCCTTTTAAAAAAGGGACCCTAAAATTAAGAGTGCCATGCTGTACAATTCTAGGGGTGTTCTTTGCATTGTGTTCTGTTTTGATTTTTAAAAAATAAGTTCGTGAAGTATATTTTAATTTTAGCTCTCTTCTTGATATGTATGAATGGATTTTTTTTTTCTTTTTTTAGTCATAAATTCACTTTGTTCACTGCTTATCTTTGGCACTTGGACAGTATCTGGCCCACAGTAGGCAGAGGCACTCAGATATTGGTTAAATGATGGAGCATGCTGGGATAATTATTTTAAAAGGAATGTCAGGCTTAGTGATAGGCACATGGGGGAATTCTGAGCAGAGACTGTTTATGTAACAAGCATTTCCTGAATACCTGTTGTGTGAAAAACGAATAATGTGGTCCCTTGAGAAGGTTATTACACATCGATATTCTTGGAATTTCACAATATCAGCTGTTGGCTGGCCATTCTGGTTATCCATTCTTTCATTCAACAAATTCAAGTGCTTGCCATGTGCTGGCCACTGTCCTGGGCCCCAGTTATGCCTTGGTGACTATGAGACATGACTCCCAAATGAATGCACAATCAAACCCACTTGTTAGCTGTAGTGATAGTTAAGATTTTTAACAGACCCTTTCCTAAAATACCAGGTAAGCGTCAGGACCACCAGCAAGCAAACTTATCCCTCTAATCATACCTGATTTTTATATTTAAAACTTTTCCTTGTCATATATGTTTTTTCTTTATATTTTCTTTAATTTTGGCTAATTTCTTTCAAACCTGCCTAGAAGTAAACAGGTTTTGCTTTAAATAGATCTTGAAGATGAATTATTTGGATTATGATGTTGTTAGAAAGGGAGGGAAGGATACCTGCCTTGAGGACTTGAGGACAGATGGAGGTGACCTCCAGGGCTCCACAGGTGTGGGTTTTGAGGCCTGGCCTGGGGATATTTGAGAGGCCCATAAAAAGAAGGGAAAGCCTGTTCCTGCAGCAGGAGTGAGAAACATGCTCCTGGAACAGAAATGCTTGCCTCTCTGAATAAAAGTGTCTTTGAGATGAGCCACAGAGGGCTCACGGTTTACTCAACTTTTCCACTGTAAGGTAATAGCAGTCTATTACTTTTACTTTCTTTGTTTTTAAACTTTGTTTCCCATTTAGAAATTGTGAGAAGGTACATTTAATGTTTAAAAAGTGGGATGGTAAATCACACTTAATATGTATGTAAGATCAATTTTCTGGAAAAGTATGGTCCAAAATAGCAAAAGAAGAACCAGGTGAAACACGTAGTCATTTTTTTTTTTTATGTGTACTTGGTCTTTTTGTCTGCATATTTCTTATTCCACTAGAATAAATGTAACCTTGATGTAAATGTGAAGCATTTCTTCTTAAACTGTAGATGTAGACTTTACAGTTTAACTCAACAATAAAAAAAGTAACCTCTAAAAAAATGGAAAGGTAAGACGAATAACAAAATGACAGGTTATAAAATGAGGAGAGTTTCCTGTAAACTTATAGGTGGAAGTGGGGGGATGTAATTATTAGGTAAGGTTCACTGGAGCACTACTAATAAAGGTAAACTTTGAAATCACTTACATGCCCTTTTTATATTGAAATTTTTACAATCTAAAACTGATATTTTGAGAAGGAAGCTTTATATATATTGCTTTTTTTCTTGGTATTAGCACCTAATTCTAATATTTCATTAACAAGTATTTGCTGTTAGAATCAAATCCAGTTTATAAAATGCAACCCTCCACTTGACCTTTGGTGTCATCACCACCTTAAATACAGAAGGACTCTTAAGCTATCTCAATGTGTAGGATAGTGAATCTCCCCTGTTTCCACCCCTGGAGGTTCTGATTGAGTCAGTCTGGGCCAGAGCCAGGCACTTGTATTTTTAAATGGGTCTTCTAGTGAATTGGGTGCACAGCCAGAGCTGAGAAAAGAGCCTCGTGTTGCCTTGGACTTGACAAGCAGCTGTGTGGCCTTGGGCTCCCTGGCTTCTTCCTAAAAAAAAAACACAGAGAGCCCATATGTATGTCTGAGGGTGCTTTCATCTCAAGCATTATACGATTTTGTCTGCCCATGTTTGTCTTGTGCAGGGAGATGAATAAACCCTCTTTTCTGTCCTTTGTACCTTGAACTACTCCAACCTGGTAAATGAAGTTTCCACAGAAGCTGATGTGTCTTTGTGGTGTTTCTTTGTAGGAAGAAAAGATAGTTCAGGTTCTATGTCCCCAACCACTACTAACCAAGAGGAGAATGATGAGATCTGCTTATACCATATCCGGAAAAGTTGTAGCTTTCAAGGTAAGTCAGAGGAAACCCCTTAATTCACGTGTGGATGGGATCACTGCTGCTCATTCCTGGAGCTCTGCTCTGAGGCCACCTCCAAAGTCCTCTTCCCTGTCCAGAGAGAGTCGGGCCTTAATCGTGAGCTGGCGTGACATTCGGCCAAACCAGTTCTGCAGCAATTTTGTTGGAGAGTTGAGGATGGTAGAAATTATTTGAGTTTCTAAAAATCAAACTGTAGAGGAGTTTTGGGAAACATAACTCTGTTCGGGTCATGCAGCAAGTGAGTATCAAGTGTTGACCCTTGGTCAACTTAGCAAGAGGTTACAGACATGCATGAGACACAGATACCCAGTGTAGTGGGAATAAAGGTAAGTGTCCTTCATAAAGGGAGATCTTAGACTTAGGATGCGTTAGAAACTGGAAGGTACTGAGGAGACACTCATGTTTGCTCTTGAGGGATGAGTAATTAAGTTGGGGTCTTCTCTCCACAGTCCCTCTTTTATCAGAAGTAACAATTCTTGTGTGTACGTGTGTGTCTGTATTTTCACTAAACCTTTGTTTTCTTCTTACTGCTGTCCTGGGCTTTGAAGAAAGATTTCTTCTCGAATTCAGTGACTCCTTTTAAAAAAAACTGTAACAACTTCTTGTTTCATTTTCAGTCTTTAAAAACTACCCAAGCATGGCAGAGGGAATGCAGTCAGCATTAATACGATGGCTAGGTGGAGGGCCAGGGGAGGGAGGGAACAATTGGGGGGATCGTTTTACGAACTGTATAGATGTCTAACCAATGTACTGTGTACTTGAAACTAATTTAAATAAATTAAAAAAAAAACTACCCAAGCAATTTATGAACGCTATTTATGAACACTTTCACTTTATAAAAGAGTCAAATAATACAGAGTAAAATCTGAAGTCCTCCTTCAGTCATCTCTAAAGGTAAACACATGCTGTGTAGTCATATTTGGTTTACATATTTTTAACAGATGGGAACATGTGACAGATATTATTTAACCTGCTTCCTTTGCTTAACATATTAGAGGTTTTTTCCTACATTAGTACATGTAAGTCTACCTTGTTTTTAAAAAAGCAATCGTGTAGTATTTCGAGTCATGTTCCATTGAGCATCAGAGTACACATGTGTATTTCTGTAGATGGATTCCTGGAAATGGAATGCTAGGTAGGTCAAGGAATATGTGTCATATATACATATATATGTATGTATTTAAATTCAACATTGAGTTCCGATTTACTCTGAGTTTTGGTAACTATGTGTGCCCATGTAGCTATCATTGTACTCTAGATATGGGACAGTTCCCTCATTCCAAAAATTTCCCTTATGCCCCTTTATAGTTAATTTTTACCCCTCAATTCCCCGACCCCAGGCAATCCTTGATCTGTTTTTCGTTGTTGTAGATTAGATTTGCTTTTTTCTAGAATTTCATATAAATGAAATCATACAGAATGTGTTTTCTTGTACTGTCTTTTTTCACCCAGCATGTTTTTGAGGTTCAGTCATGCTAGCACATCCATAGCTTGTTCCTTTTTATTGCTGAGTAGTTTGCTGTTGCATGATTGACTACCATTTGTTTATCCATTCAGATATTGATGAACACTAGGTTGTTTCTAGTTCTGGCTTTTACAAATAAAGCTTCTATAAATCTCCATGTACAAGTTTTCATGTGGATATATGTTTTCACTTCGGTAAAGACCTTGAATTACTGGATCATGTGATAAATATGTGTTTAACTTTATTAAAAACTGCCAAACTATCATTCAAAGTGGATGTACTATATTACCTTCCCACCAGCAATGTATGAATGAGTGTTCCAGTTATTCTGCATCTTTGTCTACACTTGGTATTGTCAGCCTTTTAAATTTTAGCTATTCTAATAAATGAGTAGTGCTAGCTCATTGTAGTTTTAATTTGCATTAATGATTGATGATTAATGATCTTTAACATTTATTTTTAATGTGCTTATTGGCTATTTATATATCTTCTGTAAAGAATCCATTTAAATCTTTGCCTTTTTTGTATAGCGGCTTTATTGAGATATTGAGTATAATTCACATACCATGTAATTCACTCCTTTAATAGTTTTTATATAGTCAGAGAATTGTGCAACCATCGTCACAATCAATATTAAAACATTTCTTCATCCCCAAAGAAACCCTGTACCCATTAGCAGTCACTTCCATTCTCCCCTCCCCCCCAGCCCCTGACAGCTACACATTTACATTCTATCTCTATAGATTTGCCTGGATGTTTCACGTAAATGGAATCATACAGTATATGGTCTTTTGTGAATTTGTGTGATTTTTCCCATTTTTTTGGATTGTTTGGTCTCATTGAGTGGCAAGAATTTTGATTATTCTTTATACATGTCAGATATAGGTATTGAAAATATATTCTCCCAGTCTGTGTCTTTCATGTTCATTTTCTTTATGGTATCTTTTGAAGAACAGAAATTTTAATATTGATACCCATTTTAATATTTTTTGATGGTTTGTGTTTTGTGTACTTTAAAAATCTTTGCTTATTCCAAGCCCACAAAAATGTTTCTTCTGTGGTTTTTTTCCTAGAAGTTTTATAGATTTAGCTTTTGTGTTTAGGTCTAACTGTAACTCTTGATCCCTTTTCTCTAATAATTATTTTCTTAGGTATTGATTCTTTTGTGTGAGTTAACTGCCTACGTAGTTTTTCCTTGTGTTTTGGTTGATTCTTGGTCGTCTGCTCATGTTGGCACTCAGAATCCCCATGCCTGTGGTGGTTGCTGATTCTCTTGCTGGGCTTATCGGGGAAGAGGCACTACGTCTTGGTTGGCGGGTGGGCCGCATGCATGTATCCTAGGACTAGGGGCTTTGATGACTCTCTCAGAGGCTTCTCTCTCTCCCCAGCCCTTATATCCACACTCACATGTTCCATGGGAAAAACAACAAGGTTGCTGAGCACAAACAAGGCAGTGAGGGAGTGCCTGCTCCAAGGGGTCCCTGTTACTCTCATTGTGATCGCCTCGTGTCTTCCTTGCTCCTTGGTACATGGAACTCTGTGAGGTCCCCAGACCCTTCCCACTTCTGCTGTAGCTCTCTTCTGCATACTTTGTTTTTTCTTTCTCTCCTTTCTCTATCAGTTTGATTCTTTCTGCTTCAAGTTTTTGGAAATTCTTCAATATATTTGGAATATTTGATGGAATATTTTATTGTTTCTAGTGCTTTTGGATTTCTTCTCTGTGGCTTGTCATTTCAAGGGCTATAGGGAGAAAGAGGATATGGATGTGAGTACTTTGCCAAATTGATTTGGTTTCTGTGGCTCACCTAGAAAGCCTGTTCTCTGGAATGTCATGTCATAATGAAGTAGGGAACATTAGAAGGAGTGAAGGAAATTGAGAAAGGGAAAAAGAGGACTAGGATTTTAACTGGGGCCAGCATGTGTATATCTGCAGGGGCAGAGCAGTGCATATGAAGACCGTCAGGGCTGTGGGCGTGTGTTGAGAAGAGGTGCATATGTTAGTAGCCAGAAAGATCAAAGTGTGCTGGACCCATGCCGCTGACCACCTGAGGCGGAACATGTCGGGTTGGGCTGGGTTTCCAGTAGAGAAAAAGCTGGCTTCGTTTTTGGTGTGACAGCTCCCCTTCCTACCTGCCACATGAATAGCAAAGACATAGAGTGCCCTCTGCAAGAGTGGAGACTTCGACCTTCTTATGATCAACTTCTTTACTGTCGTGAGATGAAATTAATATATTATGTAACCTACTAACATCTTTCTAAAAGTCACTGTAATGTCCTGTTAAAAAGGGAGACAAAAGTGTACATAATAAAATACATCGTATTTCAATATCTAAATGCTTAGATATGACTGTATTAAAAAAAAAGACTCCCCCCCCGCCCCCCACAGATTTCCATAACCTTGCCAAGTCAGCAGGCAGCACCACACCCATTGAGAACCATGGGACTAGGCCATGCTGTCTAATGCCAAGATGTCTTGTTTATATTTTTGTTTTAGATAAATGCAATAGAGTTCATTTCCATTTGCCATATAGATGGCAGTTCTTGGATGGAGACAAATGGAAGGATTTGGACAAAATGGAGCTTATCGAAGAAGCATATAGCAATCCCAGAAAAGACAGGTAGGAAATAATTTCACTTGGGTCTGCTCTTACCTTGTCTTTTCTGTGTGGTATGGGAAGTTTAGACACAGCAAGATTTAGTTTCAATCACACACACACACACACACGAACATTTAGTATACAGCCTGGTCTGCAGGTAGGAACTCTGGGCTGGGAATTGGAAGTTGATATTTATACTGGTAGTTTGGTGCCCGTGTTCTCCCACCTTCTCTTTTAAGGGAGAATCTGTGGGGAAGGAGGTGGTGGTACCAAGTGAGTTCTGAATTTGCTGTTGAGATTGATCACGTACTTATATCCTCATTGATTAGTATGGAAAAGTGAGAGATAATCATTTGTGAAATTTTACCCTTTGCCTGTGAAGTTGTATGGCTGAACTGCCATTTATCTAGCCTTTAACTTCCTTATTTTTCTAAGTGTGTCCCCCGTGTTTTACTTAGTTCAGAGTAAATGAGGAAGTTCTGGGTAGCCTTATTTTCAAATACTTACCATCTTGGATTGAACTTGCTACAATATGTTGGCCACAAAGAGAATTTGAGTCTACTTTTTGAGTAGATAAAATAAATTTGTGCTTAGAGTACAATTATGTACAAATTGCTACTGGCAAACTATGTGAAACAAATTACTCCCCTAGGAGGATTAAATGGCTGACAAAACACCCTCTCCACTTCCTTCTCTTATTCTGAGGCAAATTTACACATAGTGAAGTGCATATAGTTCAGTGAATTTGACAGATGCATACACTCGTGTAGCCAACACTGATCCGAGTATAGATAATTTTCCTCACCCCAGCAGATTTCCTCCTGTCCCCTTCCAGTCAATGCCCACACCCACAGGCCACCACTGCCCTGATGTCTATTACCATAGGTTAGTCTTGCCTGTTCTTGAACTTCATCTAAATGGAACCGTACACGGGACTCTTGTGTCTAGCATTTTTCTCTCAGGACTCTGCGACTCGTCCAGGTTGTCCTGTCTCCTGGTGCACATGTGCACGGGCTTCCGTTGAGTGATGTTCGGGGGTGAAACTGCTAGGGTTGGGCTGGGGTTCATCCTCAACTCTGCCTGGTGACGTCAAACTGTTTTCCAGGTGATTGCGCCACTTTCCACCTCCGTTAACAATCTGTAGTGTCACTACCTAGTGTTTGATGTTATCATCTGCCATCTGAACTTTTCCCAGTCTGGGGGTGTAACTTGGTATCTTCGTTTGCATATCCCGTGAGGTAAAGTGTTTCTCCATATGTTTGTTGGCCATTTATGCTGCTTCTGCTATGAAATGTCTGTTCTAGTAGTTTGCTCATTTTGGTGGGGCTGGTTGTTGTGGTTTTAGTTAGTTATTTAGTTTTAGGAAGTTAAGAAAATTTCTCTATTGAGTGTGTGTTTAAAATAAACTCTTCCTGTTAGGTTATGGTGTCTTTTAGTAAAGAGAAGTATTTATTCGTCTTTATTTTATATTTTTTGTGTCATAAGAAATCCATCCTTATTCCAAGACCATAAAGAAATTTTCCTGAATTTTCTTTAAAAAGTCTTAAGATTTTAAGGACTGTATTTAATTTTTCCCTGCCTGTGGTAAAGTATGGATGGACCCAGTTTCATTCTTATGCGGATGAATTACCAGTTTTTCCAAAGACCACCTTTTAAAAATGTATTTAATTTAAAATTTTAAAAATTGTAGAATATACATAATAAAATCTATCATCGTAACCATTTTTTAAGTGTACATTTCAGTGGCATTAAATACATTTACATTGTGCAGCCATCATCATTAATCATTTCCAGAAGTTTACTTTTAAATCCAAACAAAACAGAGCTAAATTTGTCACGATATTAACACATTTTATAGCTTATTTCCAGACTCACGTGCCAAATGCTACTATTTTAAAGTAGTCCATCTATTCACCTATTTTCAGTGCCGCCGATGTCAGGCACCAGTTAGTAAATACACACCCAAGTCTGTGTCTGGCTGTTTTATTGGTCTGTTTGTATCAATACCAAACTATCTTACCTTGTAGAACTTTTTAGTAAGTTTTGACATCTGGCAAGGCAAATCCTGACCTTAGTTTTCTTCATATTGTCTTAGTTCCTTTTGGTCTTTTGCTTCTCTTTAGAAATTTGAAAATCTCAGTTTTCACAAAAAAACTCTGTTGTGACTTTTTAAAATTGAAATTGCATTGACTACTGTCAGGGGAGAACTGACATCTTTATGATGCTGAGACTTTCATATGTATGATAGCATCTCATTTGTTTAAATCTTCTTTGATATTTTTCAGTAGTTCTATAATTTTCTTCATTAAAGTCTTGTATATCGTTTGTTAGATTTTTTTTTCCTTAGGGATCTGTTAACTTCTTTGCTTAAAATTTTTTAAAAAATTTCTTTTCCCTCCAGTTTTATAGAGATATAACTGACATACAACACTTGTATAAGTTTAAGGTGTATAGCACAGTAACTTGACATATGTATATATTGCAAAATGATTACCACAATAAGTTTAGTTAACATCCATCACTTCATATAGTTATAAAAAAATTTTTATTTCCTTGTGATGAGAACTTTTAGGATCTACTCTCTTAACAACTTTCAAATATACCATACAGCATTATTATTATTATTATTTTACCATACAGCATTATTAACTAGTTATGTTGTATATCCCCAGAAAAAAAATTTTTTTGTTCTATTTTTTCGTGATATCCCATAGAAATGCAGTTGACTTTTATGTAATCTTGTATTCTGCAACTTTACTAAACTATTTTAACTCAGAATCTACTGATAATATATGTGAATCATCTGTATAGGCATCTATTCTAGATATCTACATAGAAATTAGTATAACTGTCAAATAGCACTTTTACTTCTTTTTAATTCTTATACATTTTATTTCTTTTTATTGCCTTATTATAGGACCTCCTATACAATGCTGAATAGAAGTGGTGATAGCTGAAATATTATTTTTTCTTCTTTTTTTTCCCCTACCTTTAAAAGGAGTAACTTGTAAATGTTAAAATGTTACTCAATTAACATGAATAAGTATTTGGAATCTTTGGCCTTGTTAAAGAATTCTAATTTTATTCCTAGAATGCTAGGAATTTTTTTAAAATTCCATATGGAAATTGAATTTTATTGAGTGCTGCTTCTTCATTAATTAGGAGTCCATGTTCTTCATACTTTGTTAATGCAGTGAATTACATCAATTTTCTGTTAAGTCCATAGCATTCTTGAGCTTAATACACAGTCACACACTCATTCATTCATTCATTCTCTCTCTTTCTCTTTCTCTCTCTCTGTCTCTCCCCCTTTCTCCCTCCTTCTCCCCCACTTCTCTCCCTGTCCCTTCCTCCCTTTCCCCCTCTCCCCATTTCCTTCTGTCTCCCCTGAATTTGGATTTCAGATACTTTACGATTTTTGCATTTATGTTTAAGTAAGATTGGTCTATAATTGTTTCATATTATCTTTGCCTGTTTTTACCTCAAGAAGTTTCTAACCTCATAAAAATGAGATTGAATGTTTTTTTTTTTTCTGTTAAAATTTTTTTTGGTAAGTTAGAATTACTTTTTCCTGAATGATTGATCATATGTCTATAAGAATGTACAGACTTAACATTTAATTTGTGGGACTACTGGCCCAATTTCTCATAATTGTTATAGGACCAGTTAGGTTTTCTATTTTTCCTCGAGTCAGTTTTGGTAAATTGATGTTTTTTTCCAGAAGTTTGTTTGTTTTATTTATTTGCAGATTAATTGTCATAAAGTTGCTTGTGATATCTTTTACTGTCTGTGGCATCTTGAATTTTGTCTTTTACATTTCTAATTTCTTTTTCCCCTCTTTTTTTTCTTTGTCAATTTTGCAGAGATTTACTAATTTTACTAGTAGTTTTCTATTTCAGAATAACCAACTTTTGTCCTTTTTTGATCTCATATATTAGATGACCCATGGTTTATTTTTAAATGTATTTTAAATTTTGTTTAATTACAAATGAACTGCATTGTTGTTAAAGTATAGACCATGTAATAACAGATACTTTGAATTTTGTTGAGACTTGCTTTATGGTGTAGTACATGATCGGATTTAGTAAAAGTTCTATGTATGCTAAAGATCTTTTGGATGCAGTGTTAGATGAAGTATGTTAATTATGTGGTTCAAATCTTCTATATCTTTATTGATTTCTTTGCTGCTTTTATCGGTTAACATACAGAAATATGTTAACACTATGAATTTGTCAATTTTTCCTTATAATTCCATCAATTTTTGTTTTACATGTTAAACTGTTATAAAGCATATACAAGTTAAAAATTTTTTATCTTAATAATTTGAGCCTGTTAGCAATGTAAAGTGGATGCTTTTAATTTCTAGTAATGATTTTTACCTTCAGTCTGTTTTGTTTGATGTTAATGTAACTATGCCAACTTTCTTTTAGTTACTGTTCACTATTTTTTTTTTTTTTACTTTCAAAGTTTTTTGTCCTCATATTTTATATTTTGTCCTTTATACTACCTGTAAACATAGAACTGGATATTTTTCTTGTTTGTCAATCTTTGTTTTTTAATTATTTTGTATTATGATTACTTATACATTTGAATTGATTTTTATTGTCCATCTTGATTTTTGCTATTTGACCTGCTTTTTCTATATTTCTTTTGTCTTTTTGGTCTTCTCTTACATTTTTTTCTCATTTGATTTTTTTCCCCCCTTATCTGCTAGTTTGGGAGCTATGACCTGAATATCTTATTCTCTTAGTGGTTACTCTGGAAATCTAAATAAGCTCTTTAATGTAACAAACTTTAGCAATTTAAGCTAATTTATACTTTTAATCATTCTCTTGAACTATTAAAGAATTATGAACAGTTGAATTCTTACTAGTTCCATTCAAACTCATTTACTACTTAAATGAATTTGGGCAAATTACTTAACTTTCCTATGCCTCAATTTTTTCATATGTCAAATAGATAAAATAATAGTTCCTACATCAAAGGATTATTTTGAGAATTAAAGGAATTAATATATGTAAAACACTCAGAACAGTGTCAGGTGTATAAAATGTGCTATGTAAGTGTTGCTTCTGTTCTTTTCTTAATCCCAGAAGTTAGAAATTAGCATTATATCATGTAGTCAGTATTTGCTTTAACTTCCGTATTTATCATTTTGTTTTGTGCTCACCATCCTTTGCCATACATTTCCTCATGGATCATGTTCCTTCCTTAACTTCATCTCCTAGAAATTGCTTTAGTGAGAGTCTAGTGGCAAATGTGTTTTCTGTTCGTCTGAAGGTATCTTTATTTCATCCTCATTCTTCAAAGAGTTTTATTGGGTATTTTTTTTTTTCAACTCTTCAGAGATTATTCCACTGTTCTCTAGCTTCCATTGCTTCTATTTAGAAGACAGCTGTAAGTCTGAATATAGGTATAGAAGTTTCCTAGGGCTGCCATAACTGATTACCACAACCTTGGTTGGTGACTTTAAACAATAGAAATTTATTCTCTAACAGTTCTGGAGGCTAGAAATCCAAAATCAAGGTGTCATCAGGGCCGCACTCTCACAATAAACATTTAACATATGTTAACTATTATTATTTTGTTTTCTAAGGATTTCCTTTCTTTCCAGCTCAGTAGTGCATTTAAAAAATGTATTTTAACTAGCACTTTCTGTGTAGTGAAAGGAATGTCATGATAATGAGTTTTCTATGTCACCTCGATTTTATTATTTCGCACAGCAAAACTGATCTTAAAAAGCAGTCCTCCCCGCTGGTCTTGGGATCTTTTATTTTTTAATGTGCATCTCACGTTTATATCTACCAGCTGAGCATTTAGAAGACCATGGGTGGAAGCTGAGGGGCCTGTGTACATTCGGCTGGTGAAATTTTCATGTACCACTTACATTCTTTTGCAGGATCCTATGCGCTGAGTCAGTCGGTGATTTTCACTTTGATTATCTGAACTTCGACTCCATGACGTTCGGCACTGCCCGGGCTCGCCGCCTCTCCACGGCTTCGTCAGTCACCAAACCTCCACACTACATTCTCACCACCGAGTGGGTGTGGTACTGGAATGATGAATTTGGTTCTTGGCAGGAATATGGAAGACAAGTAAGTGTGATGGAAAGAGGGCCAGTGATTCCCTCCTGAGCCTCCATATCAAAGAGCCCTTCTAACATGTGCCCAAAGATTGTTCTGGGGGTCAGTGATAGAGCTAAAGATCTCCAGATGTCCCTACTCACCGCTTTGGGGGGAATTATACAGATCTTGCTAATTTGGAATTCATTTTTCTGAGCTTCCATCTTTGAACAATTAGATATCTGTTGGCTCTCATGAGATCAGAATGATTAAAAGTTGGAGATCGTGTTTCTTCATTGGTTTTGTTAAATGAGATAGAAGGATGCTTCTCTTACTGTTGAGCAGGTAACTCTGGAGTGAATGCCTGTGTGTGCAGGAATGTTTGTGTAGCCGCAGATAAAATTTAAGGCTTTTCAAAGCTGGCATTCTGTTCTGGGGATGACTCTACAGGTATGAGTGACACACCATATGCTGGTATAGATGCATGCGTGTGGACTCAGTGACATTTGGCTGCATGGTCTTATTTTGTCCCATCAGTGGGACCATCTCGTAGGGTGACTTGTCCATTCTAGCCCTTCTTTTCCTACATACTTCTGGTGTCACCACATATTTATATTTCTGTCTTAGTTTTCTGCTAATTGCCAGTTCAAGGTAGTTTTCTCTTCTCAGAAAAGCTAAGTTTTTTAATGCCTGAGCTCAACATGTACTCCCAAATTTTAGATCCAAATTGCTTCCACCTGCATTCATTTCCTAAGGCTGCCATGACTAAGTATCACAAACTGGGTGGCTTAGAACAACAGTGATTTATTGTCTCATGTTTCTGGAGGCTAGAAATTGAAATCAAGGTGTAGTCAGGGTCATGCTCCCCCTGAAACCTGTAGGGAATTCTTCCTTGCCTTTTTGAGCTTCTGGTGTCTTACTGGTGATTTTTGGTGTTCCTTGGTGTGTAGACAGACACATCACTCTAGTCAGCTTTCATCATCACATAGTGTTCTTCCTTTGTGTGTCTTCACATGGCCATCCTCTTATAAGAACATCAGTCATGTTGGATTAGATGCCCATCCTAACTAATTACATTAATTATATCTACATTGACCCTATTTCCAAATAAGGTTACATTTTGAGGTACTGGGTGTTAGGACTTCAATAGGTCTTTTGGGGAGGGAACACAATTCAACCCATAACCTAATCTTGTATGTAAACGAATTACTGTACTTGGCCCACTGAAGCTTTCTGCATTAAACTTGCCATCCCTGAGGTGTTCAGCTCCAGGATGCATTATCCCAACCAGAATCCTTTTTGGATTATTCTCAACAGGCTTCTCATGTTAGTTTACCTTTTCTATTTTTCCCCTTTCCTATGATTGCCTTTGCCTTGCTCTAAAAGCCCCACAGTTACCTTCATCTTCTTCTACCGGAACCAACCTATCTATCTGCTTGGAAGGAAAGGACCCCCCTACCCTCCACATTTATTCCTCTACTCACCAGAATCTGACTTCTGTTACCATTACTTGTTCATCTGGTCACTATTCATGGAGGACCTGCAGGAAGTGGGACCCAGTCAGGCATAGGCCTCACAGTTCCGTAGACCCCAGCGGAGGACTCACGTGCCAAGTCCCATGGCATTTCCAGCCTTCGCCCAGCTTCCTGCCCACTCGCTCCTCACTGTCCTGGCGTTCTTGCTTCTATCCTGTGCCCTTCATGGGCTGCTTTTCCACTCCCCTTAGTGAATGTTGTGGTTTCCTGGGGTCCAGCCCACACCCCCATTCTTCCCACTGGTGTGTTTGCACTGGGTGATCACACTGATTCTTCCAATAGTGGTGGCCACCTCAAGCGAGCTCTCTATCTCTGTCTCCAGACCAGATTCATCTTTGAATGTCAGACTTGTGTGTCCAAACACCCACCTGATATTTCTGCAGCACTTTTGCTTTTTATTTTGGGCACTGTGCTTAGTGCTCTGCATGCCTCGTTTTAATTCTTTTCCAACCCTTTGAGGATAGTATGAAGATGGCATACTATTGTATAACAGTATGAGTATGATTTAAATACTATTACCTGTTATAAAATTGAGATAATTGACATTCAGAGAGATTAAAATAAGTTGCCAAGGTTATAGAGTAAACAGGTTGGGGCCAGAATTCATGGTCAGTCCGTCCTAAAACATCAGCTATCCAGTAGGTCATTGGAATGAGGAAGATGGATTGGAATGGATAATTGGAAAAATAGAAAAGTTTTCTAAGGGACCAGAAAAAGAAAATGAAGACTGCCCTCTGACTAGAGCATGGCAGGAACAAGACTAGATGGAGAAGGGGCCGTGTTGCTCAGGCCTTCGAGTCTGGTAGCATTCGAGATTCACTGTCGATGTTTCACCTGCATTTGAATGCTTGTGTCATCCATTATGAGCAGTTGAATACCCTCTCTTCCCTTTCTCCCATCGCAGGTATCCTGATTTAGCAACATCCATGTTTACGCTCTTCTGTTTTCCCAGGCAGCTTTTAAGAGGCAGTTGTATTGGCTTCTATTCAGTGGCTCCCTCTCCTGCCACCCTGCTCTGTCCTCTGCCTCCTCCATGACATGAGTACCGCTGTGGGCATGGTGAGGATAGCACCCAGTGTGTCTTCATCATCTTAAGTTCTTGCCTTCAAGAATTATCTGGTATTTTCTCTTACAGGGCATGGAGCACCCCGTGACCACTGTCAGCAGCAGCGATTTGGAGAAGGCCTACCTGGCGTACTGCGCCTCAGGGTCTGATGCCCAGGCAGCCATAATGAAGTTCGAGGCTGGAAAGCACAAATACAAGTTAGACTTCAAAGGTACTTCCTGACCCACCGCCCGCACCCAGCAGGGCCTGGCCATCTGTTGGTTGTGCCATTTCCACGTTAACCTTGGAAGAGCTCTGTGTACACATTGAGGGCCAGGAAAGAAAAGAAAGGGCGGTCTCATCTCCTGACGTGCTGCCCATCTGGAAGGGAAGACAGACCTGTAAACAGATGATGCCCACCCAGTGGGCTTGAGGAGGACTGCCTTGGGAGATGACGAGAGATGACCCCGAGGAGGGAACAGGAGCCCAAAGTGTGGAGGGAAAAGCTGCCATGTGCGCAGTGGCAATTGTCCTGTTGGCCATGGTCAAGTTCCTCTGTGTCTGAGGATTAACCTTAGTCCTTGACAAGTGTCACAGTGGTTCTGCTGCGCAGCTTTGCCTCGTACTCCCTGGTGTGGTAATGTTAATATCTTCTGTTCTCTAGGCGCCTTCGGCATGGAGGGGCTGCCAGGTTAACAAACGTGGAAGACGTGTACTTTGTTTAAAAGTCACTGGGAAGCAGATTTTTGTGTGCTCGTGGTGTCCTGACACTGGGCCTTAAGTGACTTGTCCCAGTTGCCTTGACAGCCAGAAGCAGACCAGACACCTTTTAGCTTTCCAGTGGCCTATTGTGAGAATTTTTTTTTTAAGTTTTAGTTTTTCTGTAACTTTTTAGGCCATTTCCTCGTGAATTTATCAGTCCAGCATTGTTCAATTTAGTTTTGCCTTTAAATTCACATCTCAATCCTTCTGAATGTTTAGCATTTTTAAAGGGAGTTGAGTGGGGCTTCCTTTAAACACAGTTTACTGTTTTCTCTATTTTTATGGACTTTCATTCTCTGTGGAGGGCAATAAAGTGTCTTTAGTGAATTACCCTAAATCCACTGTTACTGCATGCTTTTAGCTAGTTGTAGCTTGTGGTTTTGTAGCAGTTGTGGTTTTACTCAAGGTAGAATAGCTGCTGCCTCCATAGGCCCTTTCAGGGATCCTAAATGTTTCCTCTGCTCTTCAGTGAGAACTGCTTACCAGACTCTAGCGTCTGCTGGAAAGCAGCAGTCACATGTGAGGTGGTTTGCAGTCCAATCTGATAAACACAGTGCAATAAAGGGGACAATTAAATATACAAAATAACAAGTCAGGACTGCCCTGATGATCACGTCTATATAACTAGCACTCATCTGACTGCTGCTGACAACAGTTTAAAATATTTGTTCAAATATTTGGAGAATTTCAAATAAATTGAAAATGTCAGCTGCAACCTTGATCACTCTCAACCCTACTAGGCAGCACCCTCAGAGGACAGAACAGAGAGTCATGTGGAGGTAGAGACGAGCACACGCATGCAATTGACTACAAACTAGGAGAAAGCATGCTTACTGCAGACTGACCTAGGCTCGCCTGAGTGGGCACAATTCTTTTTTTGTTGGTAGCTGACAGTAGTCACAGAAAAAGTTTGAAGTGAGTTAATTTCTCTCCTCACCACCTCACTACTAGATACAGTGAAAGTAAATCTCAGACCTAAATCCGCCACTCACATTTATTAATTAGATATTTATTAGAAAGTACACCTAGGAAACATACCGCAGGCCAGATGACTTGTTCTGTAGGATCGGGGAAGACTCGGCTTTGCCTCTTGTCTCAAAAGAGTCACTCAAGGTAAATGCCAAGATGCCAGAGACCGAATTCTGACATCTGTTAGCTGGCATCAGTCAGGCAGAATCCCCAAGGTTAGGGCTTCCTTAGAGACTAAGCCTCTTTAAGGGTAAATTAAGGAAAATGCCTTTCTTTACCCTGTTCATGGGATGGTAGAGAATGGGTCTCACATATATTTATCCAGTCCACATGTCTTGAATAACTTAATTTTACCAGTGAAAGCCCATTTGAAAGTCATCATAATGTCAGTCAACAGGCCAATAAAAACCCATGCAGTATGCTAATTAGCTAGCAGAGTATTGATGGAAGGTTGACTGGTGGGTAACAGAAGGGGTTGTGGTAGCTGGGTCTGGATCATGGGCTCCTGATTAAAATGTAGGGGACCCCGCCCCAGGAGTGCCTGATTTTGACAACCACCTGGGCTGTAGCGCAGGGAACACACACCTCAAATGTAGTAAGGTAAGTTAAAGACATCTGAAAATTAATATTGAAATGTTTTTTAAATGAAAACAATTATTTTTGTACTCTTAAATGCAGAAAGTAAGACTTGACAGGATTTTCCTGATGAGTGGAGACATGTAATCTAACTTGTAGGTATTGGTGGTTTTTCGACTCAAGGGGCAGTGTCCCTTCCACCCTCAAGATGAATCTAAGGATCTTGGGGGTGGGAATGGGGCAAGAAATGTGTTTATTAAAGATGGTACAGGTTTAAAAATGGTTAAGAAATACTGCTATAGAGTGTTTCCTTAAAATAAAGTCATAAGAGTAAAATTATTATATTCTAAATCCCACTGGTTCAAGATCTCTAATTTGGTCTCAGGCTGGGATGAAGCTTTTTTTGTATCCAGACTGGGAAAAATTGCTAAGCAAAATAATAGTTTAAACAAGATTGGAAGGAACAATTTAAAAGCACTCATGTGTAATTGATATGTCAATTACTAATCATTCATCTATTCATTAAACCCAGTCTCCTAAGGCTTCCTATTTCTTTATGAATATTTGAAATGAGTCAAAACTGCCTGACTTTTAACAGGCTGATTCTGGGCTTTACATGTTTGGATTAGCTTTCCAACCCATTTGATATGTTTATAAAACATGACCATCTTCTGCTCTGTGTGTGTGTGTATATATATACACACATATATATGTATGTAAATTTTTTTTTCAGCCTTCATTCAGAAAAACCTGCTCTATGGCACAACCAGAAAGGTTTGTCGGAGACCCAGATACGTGTCTCCTCAGGATGTGAAGGTGAAGCAAACCTGGTACGTGGCATTTGGGGAACTTGGTACTTGGCGTGTATCAGGGCATACTGTGCTGAGTACAGAAAACCTCCTTTAGCGAAAGCATTAAGGCGGTTTACTGGCTGTGTAACTGAATGCCTCAGCACTTTCTGTGCCTGGCCTTTGATCTTTTCAGTCTTTTGCTGTTATAAATATAACTCCACAAAGGGTAATCTAGTGTACATGGTGTTTCATATTTGTGGAGGTGAATCATCAGGTTAGAGTCCTAGAAGGTCCATGCACATTCTTCTTCATGGGTCGAACCGTTATGCGCTTACCCCAGAATGCATGAGGCGCCAGCTTCCCTCAGCCTTGCCAACAGAGCACGTCATCAAGGTCTTAGATTGTTACCATTCTCATAGGCGGGAA